CACGGCGTTCTGGTTTCCTTCGGTCTCGTCTACCACCAAGCAAGCTAGTTTCTCTTTCCTCTTCACGCCAACGACGGCTATTTTCACTTTCAGCGGCAGGCCGCCTCCAATCTTTTTTGTCATCAGATCCTTCCAAACGCCAACCTTCCTTCTGGTTGCTATCAGCAGAGTTTCCGAGGGAACTTGGGCCACGCATTTCCTGTAATATACAGCCAATTTATGACTAGTCAGCTTAGTTGTGAATTTCCAAGTAATCCAGGGTTAAGCAGCTGTAGATTAATTATTTAGTGAGTTGAGTTTTCACTATAAGCAGATAAAATCCACAACAACAATAACAAAGCCTTTTCCCACTAAGCAGATAAAATCCATTATAAAAAAAGCAGCTGATCAATTCCAAGTACAAAGTCTTTTAATAGGTCTAGAGGATTGAATTAACTACAACTAATCCTGATTCAGGGAGATAACAGAAGAATATAAACCAAATAAAAAGTCGATTAATACTAAAAGAAATCCAATCCATAGAGCACATACCAACTTAGACTCACTGGGTTTGGCATAAAGCCACTGGGGGGACAAAGGTATGCTGCTCTCTGAGGCAGCTGGATCTGCAAAATTTGTACATTAGCAATACAAAATCAGATGAGTGTGAGACGAACAGAATATAAATTACCTAATGACTCTACAGTTCATGAAATTAATGCTAAAAACTTGAACGACAAAGCTCACCTTTTGAGTCATCAGATGACCCGATAAGCACCTTTTTTTCATCATTTCCTCCAGAGGCTTCAACTGCCAAAACATGAACACAAATTAAAACACAAATCAATGTTTATGCTCTCATTACAAAGTCCACTCAATGCCCCACAGTAACCCCGGTAATAAAGTCGCTGACCCTGTAAACACTAGACGAAGGAACTGTACATATTTGTTAACCACAAATAAAGATTTAACACTGGAACTGCAACTCAAATAGCGTTTCAGACGAGGAAAAAACTAATAGCAGCTGTTAGCGAATTCCAACAAAACAATCAAAACCGTGATAGCTCAATAACAGTAACCACTTGAAATACTTCGAAAACTAACTCCCTAGATTTGCTTTCACTACAGACCAGAATAAATCTCAAGAATTTTTGACACCCAGAATTACACTACAGTTGATCATAAAATATTTCTCTCTTGCATTGATTCAACGAAAGAGTTTAAGGGTAAACCAACTTCGTAACTGAAAGAGGCCATAACAATCAACAATAGAACACATAATAAATAAATTTAAAAAACAAATTGGAGCCTAATCTAATAACTGTAGCACATGCAAATTTCTTTACTTGATCTTAAAACATAAACATTAATAAAACGCAGAACACAGAATCGATAGTATCATCCAACATGGCGATAGTAAAACAACGGAAGGATTACAATTACAATACATTAGTGTTAAAGACCGAGTTCGAATGCAAAAATTACAAACAAAAATTGAGAGAAAAGAAAAACTGATCCGAGCAAAATCCGAAAGACGGAAACATTCAATCAAAACATAAAAATCCCGACTAGCACAAGATGCAGGAAGCCGAAATTAAGAAAGCTGAAGCCGAAAAAACAATCGAAAATGAACTGGTCCAATGCATACTTAAACGCTACAGATCAGTAACCATCCACCTTACATTAGCTTCACATCGACCAAACCCAATGAATACACAAATCTGAAGAAAATGAATTGCTATAGAAATAAAATAGCAAAAATGAAAAGGCGGAGTACCTTTGGAGGTCCAGGACTGATCGGACGGCTTACAGGAGAGGAGATCGTCGGGAAGATCGAGCTTGCCTTCCGCCATCGAAAAGTGAGGGAGTCGGAGGGAGGGACGGGGAGGGAGAACGAGAGAGGGAGAAGAAGCGCGTAGTGGATTGGAGCTCCAATACAGAGAGGGAGATGGCGAGGTCAGGACTGAATTTTGAATTTCAGAGAATCTAGGGTTTCGCAGAAGAGTTTTGTACAACAACACTGAGAGAGTAGAGAGAGAGAGAGAGGAGAGAGAGGCTGGAGAAGAAAAGGGTGAGGATTTGGGTTGCGGTCTGAGGTCAAGATTTCAGGTTGCTTGATTAGTTGAACAAATAAAAGTTAATTTGAAATTAACCAAAGTTTTGAATTTAATAATATTGAACATTTTTATTTTTTTTATTTTTGTTTTTCAGCTTCTGGGAAAAAGGTTTCATGACAAAAAACCTCACGATATTTTTTGTTTATTATTTATTTATTTATTGTCTATGTTTATGAGCAATGGCCGCCAAACTGGATTGAACGCAATGTCGTTAAGTGCATCGGGGGTGGTTCGAGTCTTGCATACTTATCCAAACCCAAAACCAGGAGAGATTTTTCAGTATAATCGGTACACGTAGTGGTATATTACGTGTTTTATATAAATTGTGTGATATGTGTACTAAAAAATTAATAACTTAAAAAATAAAATTTATCACCACTTTTATTAAAACACGTGGTGTACCACTTGTATTTCAATCACAATTAAAATTTTCTCCAAAACCAGTCCTATGGGGCCCGTGAACTCTAATTCATTGTTCATGTTGTGCCACATGTGACCCACTTACAAGTAAATTTTTTAGGAAAGATACGATATTCATTAATAAAGCAAAAGGTGCATATAAACGGGTTTGATAAAATTTTTGTTAGAGGTTTCAACTTTAGATGAAGAAAAAAAAAAGATCTAACACCAAAAACATTCTCTTGATTGGGTGGCAACCAAGAAAAAAGCGGCTCTAAATCAATTATATTGAAACATAAAATCTCACTTTTGAAATTGTGTTTCATTATAAATTGTAGTAGGGTAAATTTGGAAAGAGAAATATTAATGTTTAAGTGCGAGTGTATTACATACTGCATACATGTGAATTGGAAAATGTAACTTATATTTTCCTTTTAGCTTTGGCCGATTTGAATAAAAAAGATCGTTTTTATCACATAATGTTATTCACAATTCTAAAGAAAAATAAATCTAATTATTTAAACAACAAATCTCTCACAATTTTAATTATTTTTTTCTTGTTTTTTTTGTCGAAGCCTGAGGTATCTCGCATCTTAAAAAATCGTGAGACTTGAAATAATTAAAATCATTTTAATCCACTTTTGATCACAATTAAAATTTGGTTTTCAATACATAAAAATTAAAAGCGTTTTTTAAAGCTTGTGACAACTTTTCAGTTTTTAATGTTGGAAGAAAAAAAGAAAGGACAAAACTCAAAGCCAATAATCTTCATCAGCTAATTTATCAAAAGCTCAAAAGTGTGCAACAATAAAAGTAGACAACTACCCTGTAATTGTTGGGTCTGGACTTGTCCGTTTCAACATTTTGAGCTTCTCAAATCCCAGGCAGGGATTTAAGATTCACAAGAGTGGGTGACCCACCAATAAGGCAGTCTCTACAACGCGTTTGTTCTTTCATTCTTTTCTTTTTTATTTTATTTTAACGAGATCAGATAGTAGCTTCGTCACGATAGCCCATCTTTTCGAGAGTCAGGAAGACTTTTCAGCCTCTTCCTACTCATCATTGTATGAATTAGCAGTGTCAAGAATCAAAATTAGGACGTGCCGCGTGGAGTACGACTTGAAATTCATCTCGACTATTAAACCACCCGTAGTGATTCTATAGAAAGAGATCCTCTACTAATCTCTTCCACCTAGGCCACCTAATTAAGTGATTTGAACCCTTGAAATTTGACTCAACGGCTAAAGTTATTATAACATTAAAATGGACCCCTGTTTTTAGCCATTGAATCAAATTTTAAGGGTCCGAATCACTTGATTAGGTGGCCTAAGTAGAAGAGATTAGAAGATGATCTCTTTCCTGATTCCACAACATGTCTTGTTAGTTTAAGATAATCAATCTCAACTACACACAGTGGTGAAGCCACATGAGGACGAGGAATGGAGGCCACCCATCCCCTCGTCGAAAAACACAGTTGGAGCAAAGGTTCTACCCCTCCCCTCATTGGAAAACCCAGCCTCTCCATGTTTAATCTAGCTCTGGTGAACTGGTTTTGCTGCATGCAACAGCAGATTGGGTTTTTTTTTCTTTTTTTTTTAATCCAGGCCAAAACGAATCCTAGTAAAAAAAAATTTAAAGTCAAACGGCGCCGTTTCGATGTTTGAAAAAAAAAATGTATTGGGGGGACCGTGTGTCTCCCGTTCCTTCACTTAGGCACGCGTGTTGTGCCTTTACCATTCCAATCTCTCCCTTCGCCAATCAGAGATAGAGAGAGAGCAAAACTGCTCCCAAAATCCTAGCAGCCTGTAGCCAACGCCCAACCCCAACGAAACTTCGGTTGGCTTTTTGCTACCAAAACCAGCCACTCCAGCCGTTGAGCCGACTTCTAGCCTTCAAAGGTAAATTTTTTAATTCCTAAATTTATAATCCCTAACCCTAATTAATTATTTAATACAAATTTCGTTTAATTAGTATACAATCATATGATAATGCACTAATATGGTTATTGGTTATTGATTATTGATATGAAATTATTTTTTAGGGTGAAAATTAAAATTTGAATTTTTGATTAGTTGTATTTAATTTTATTGATAATAGTTGTAGCTGCTTTTATTGATAATATGTTTGTTTATATTGAGAGATATGTATTTACTTTTATTAATAATAAGCCTATTATGCGACGTTTTCATGATATGAAACCTCGTCAACAACAATTATAATTTGTTTATATTGATAAATTATAGAAGGCATTACTATATAAAATGATTTGATTATTGCTATTTTTTTAAACTTTGCACTCTTTTAATTTCGCTCATCTCCGGTCAATTCCTGGCTCTGACTACACACAGTGACACAAGAAGTCAATATCATTGATGACAACAACTTTCCAAGTGCAAATAGGAACATCTGCAGATTTTATATGCACCACGCACCCTAATTGACCAAATTAAATTTTATATGCACCCTCCACATGTCATCTCATCAATCAGGCCAAATGTGCCACAATTACAAAAGAACGTTGATTTCTTAGGTATTCACATCGAGTCCGTACTGATCCCCAATCAACTTACAAAACCAAAGTAGCTAATACACCAAAAGCATCAAATTTCATCAATCAAACAATTCACTTTTCAAATCCTTTACAACAAACAACAATAAAACATTTTTTTCACTAATATGATCGGCCAACATTTTTTTCACTAATATGATCGGCCATACGAATCCTAAAACGCCAAATCTTTTTTACAATAAGGAGCCAAAATGTAATTAGCAAAAAGAAATAAAAAGCCAATGTGTAGAATAGCACACAACCAAGTTTCATTGTCTCCTTGCAATATTAACTTGTTACTTGGACACGAAATCTGCAGTTCCAGCAGCATGCCTCCTCTTCCTTCTCCTCAACCTCTCACACACAAGCGCCCTCTCCAGCTGCTCCACCCTCTGCGACAGCGAGCTCAGCATCCGCGTCTGCATCTGGTTCTTCTCAAACAGCTCCTCCATCATTCCCATCATCTTCGCGTTGTCCTCCGCCACCCTCTCCAGCAGCTCTCTGCTACTGCTCCTTTTGTCATCATCCTTCATAATCTCCCCAGCTCCCTCCTCCTCCGCCACCTCCTCTCGTTCCACCACCTTAACATCCTCCACCCCATCCTCCAACGGGTTCGGCGAATCATCACAAGACGATCCAGAGGACTCGCTATCACTCACAGAGCCTTCTACCTCTCTGCACCCCCACGCATTGCCGTGTCGGACAGTTTCGATTTGGGGCCCGGCTGCCGATTCCAATTCCACAGACTGCGAATTCTGAGTCTCATCCGAATTTACAGGGGATTCGGATTGCAATTCTAGGGTTTGGTCGATTTGGGGATTTTCAGCAACAGCGCTGTCCACTCTCTCCTGCAAAGCAATCGCCTTTTTTATCACGGCCCTCCTGAAATCCCTAACTCCCGAATCGACGCCCTTCACCGAATCCAACTTCAACAGCAAGTTCATCAGCGTCTCGTTCACCTTCAGCCGCTCCTTGGCGTCCCTCCTCATCAATTCCACCGCCTCTCGCTTCGAAATGCGCTTCTCGATCTCGCTGACCTCGACTCTGATCGCCGCGATCTTCCTCACGCTTTTCCTCACCAGGAACCCTCTGAACGCCTTCTGGATTTTCAGCGCCGACTCGGACCGCCTGCGCTCCAACCCGACGTACTGAACCGGGATCGAGACCACCTTCGGCGACGGGTCCGCTCGGCGCTGGACCGGGACTTGCCTCGCCTCCAGCGGGTACTGATGTTGTGGCGCGAAATTGGTCTGCGGGTACTGATGTTGTGGGGCGAAATTGTGCCAATGCCTTCTGAAGAATGGATCCATTGGTGACGAGAATCTGGAAAACCTTGAATCAAAACGACGACGATTTGAAAGCTTAGACGAAGACGAAGATTTTTTTTCTCAGGAAATTTTTCTAATTTGTTGATTGAGAAACGAAGGGTTTGGAATATTTATACTGAAGAGGGGAAATTTGATCCGCGTCGAGGAAGAGCGCGAAAGTTCCAGAAGTTTCAAGTATATAAACTTGTAGATGCTGACGTATCTTTGTAAGAAAAGACCGAAACGCTGCCGTTTAGGCTATAAAGCATGAGATTAGGCTTTCAGCGCCACTTTGATTAGTAGCCTAGCCGATCCTAATCCCACGTGGATTCCCCAATCCTAATCAAATTTCAATTAGGGCATGTTTACATTGTAGGAGTTGGAGAAGTTGGGAATAAGAAAAATGTAAATTCATTCCAGACAAGTAAACGTGTTATTTTAGTTCTAAATTCCTAATTGAACTTATGAAAGTTTTAATGTAATTCTAATTAAACTTGTCACTTAGCATCATGATATAGTAATATTCATCTTTAGTCGACTCCCGTTAATGGCGAGTTTGTAACCAAATGCCAATGTTCAACCTATTGTGTAACAGTTTAATCTGTCATTCCTTAAGTGTAAATATATTGCTTATATTAAAAAGAAAAAACTCTAATTAATCTTAGGTGTAAAAAGATGGGCACACCATCCTGACCAGATAGCAGTCAATTACAAACGTAACATCTGGTACTTGAAGCGTAGTAGCATACGGTCACGAAGGGATCCCTTCATCCATTGCCTCACGTGTGGCGTTTCTTCGGCCTAAAGAAAATTCCTTCTGCTTGGTAATTGGTATTTTGATCCCTGCCCGCTTCGAAAGTTCTGCGGAAGCTTGCTTTGCCTTTGCAAGAACTTCTTCCTGTCCAGTTATAATTGGAACCCGTAAGCCATTAGTCTTTATTTGTATGTCTAATAAGCGAAAAGTACTGACAGAATACCTCATCCACGTTCACAATCTTCTTATCCTTCATAATCCACAGGCCATTGCACATTACAGAAACTATATTTTCGGTTCGCATGCGATACATAAGGCTGGAAATGCTGCATATGTAGCAAAAGAAAAATATTAATCTACCGGGAATAAAGGTTTGAGTTGCAGACAAACAGAAGGTAGATTTTTTTATGAAGATAAGATTGGAAATTTGGAACCAGATCCGCTGAAATGCCAAAAACTGACTTAGAAAATCATGGTTCCGACAGATGGCCATACATGTAAAAATCACTCATGGAAACTGTCAAAAAGTCTGTAGAAGAACATCAGCATGCCTTTTTCATAGCAAAATGTGGCATGGATACAAATCTAGTTGACCCTTCTCCATGTGTAAGTTTAAGGGCGTTAGATAGAAATAAAGTTAATGCAGATGATTCCTTTGGGGATGGTCCTTCCCTGTCATGGTGGGGAACCATGGTCCAAGGGGAAGGGTTGATAATAACAACCAAGTCAGCCTGCCAAATCATGGAAGAAGGAAGCTAATCAGCCTCGTGTTTTAAATCTGCTGAGATATGCACAAATGTGTATGGTATGACTTTAATTAAAGAGAACGTTATATTAGAGATGCAGAAGGACAAGAGAAACTAATCTGAGCTAGCCAAAAGTTCAACCTATTTCCCGACCTCAATGGATCCTATTTCATCATCCCAAAGTAGTGATTTTGCACCATTTATGGTCGCCAACTCGAGAACTGTTTCAGCAGGAAAAGCAGAAGGATCAGCAGTTCCATTTGTATGAACTTCCCGTCCTTTGTTAATCAGAGAAGCCAGGTACATCTCTTCCAACTGCAAGGAAGTAAACTATCCATGAATTTGCAGGTCCAACCATCATTGTTCCAATGTGCAGACCCACAAATAAGGGAAAAATGCAATAGTGGGTAATCAGAATTTCCACCTATGCTCATTCTATTATTCGAGGGTGCCAAATGTGTTCCCAAAGAGACACAGATGCCAGCATCCAGCATCTCTTTAATAGGTGCGAATCCAAGCATTCGAATCGCAGCAGCAAGGCAGTTAGATACTTTTTACTCCACCCTTCGAAAGACAATCATGTAAATTTTATGTGGTTATATAATTAAAACACACACAAAGGAGTTAGTTGACCTGATCATGAAGCGATAGCCATTGGAGATCAAACGGAGAAGATGAGGGATGCGGCAACACCAAAGTCTTCTACAAAGCACCTAGCCGGTTACAACTACTTTATGGGAAGCGTTTGTTTGTGTATCTAGGGTTTGCAGGGACCTTAGTATTTATATTGGCTAAGGTATTAAGGTTCCGTCCATAAAGGAATCCCAAATCCCACTTTTTTAGCCTATCAATTAGGTATCATAATCACATAAAATCAAGGACTCCATCAATCTTACTTGTATTACAAGACACCTAATATAAGATTGATATCTTTAGGAAATCAAATCACAATATCAACATTAATCTCCAATATTACATTCCTATTATATGTTGTAGACCATTTAAGGTTGATTTACATCGGAATAAATTCAACATTCTCCCACTGGTCTACACATATAATATTTATGTTTATACTTGAAATTGGAAATTAATGTCACTTTAATGGCCATGTAGTTGTGATAACATCCTATCCTTGATACAAATTTCTGTCAAATAAGTCTTTCAACATGGAACTAACAAGGTTGTAAGGTTGACACAACCCAAAACGTTCATAATCACACATGCTAAAATCCTCATTCACATAAAACACCGTCAAATTATGATTGCAAAGATGAACTTTAATTACTTTAATGTGTCTCAACTTTTATCATCTCAGGTCCTCTTTAATAAAAACTTCTATTGCAGTTGCAAACAAAACTTCATAAAACATAATTAATTCAACACCTAGGAGCAAGATGAATTAACATGTTTTTTTACACTGGTTCATATACCATATCAGTCACTTTCGTGAGAAAATTTTCAACACTTATGAGCAAGATGAAAAAGCCCTCACAACTAATACAACATATAAATCATGTCATGCCATTTTAAGTCGAACCAAAAGAATTAATCCACACTTACGAGCAAGAAGATTAACCATTCCTTTATGATTTAACATGCAATTTGCTTAATTGGACCTCAGATATATAGTCATCTGATAATTGACCAACACATAAACATGTGACTCAATGAATCCCACCAGAGATTAAACTGAATACATGTATTCAAAAAACCATACATACCTTATAGGTCATTTGCAAATGTAAGGCATTACTAACATGAAACACAAGCTCCCACTGATATGCATCATCGTCACTTAATTTGCAAATCCATACTTAAATCATACCTTTTGAAATATGCTTGTGGGAACACCCTTACTTATTCAATGAATGCATATCACTTCAAAATTGTCTTTCTTTAACCTTTCCTTAACACCTTAGATAGCATAATCTCAATGAAAGGTAAAAGACTCTCCAAAGAAATGAAGAATAATGATTGAAACCTTATGTCCAAAAACCCAATCGGTGCTAGCATGATGACTGGTGTAACTGTATCAGAATACATTAGTTTTCTATCCTGAAAACAGTATTTGAAAACATTCTTCATATCATCTTGTAAATGCTTGTGACTTTAAAACATTAACTCCACTTTTTATTTGATAACTGCATTCAAACAGCCACACAGATATATAAAAAAAATCAACAAGATCATAATAAAGATAACTGAAAATGCTTCAAACTTTATGATCCAAAACTCACGGACCTACCAAAAACTAAGGGTGCGTTTGTTGCGCCGGACTGTCTCGGACTGGACTAGCTGCCGGGACTAAGCTGGACTGGCTTAGACTGGACTAAGCTGGACTAACTTAGTGAAGCGTTTGGTGCAGTCTCGGACTAAGAAGCAGGATAAGAAAAACAGTACTGTTCACCAGATTTGTGTTTGCTTAGACTAGGACTACAAATTTTTGCCATTGTGTAATAGAGTAAATCTACAAATCTCATGATATGGGTTAATTGGAGCATATTTTTACCATGTATATTATGAATCTTAAAAAAAATTGACAATTGTTTTGTTTCTATTACCTGCTAATAGAATTGGGTTTAATTTGCAAATGTAGCTTGATTTAAACTCTATCACCCAACAGAAGAAAAATAATAGTGGCCAATACATGCAACTTCAACAAATACAAGTACATAAAGATCTCCATAATTTAGAAAATCCTAGTTAACATTAGTTAACATTAGCCAAAATAGATCTCCATAATTTACAAAATGGCTAGTTAACATAAGCCAAAATACTAGTGCAAAAAGCTAAGTTATAAGTCATAACATAAGATTGTATGATTAATAAAATACATCCATGTTAACGTTAATAAAATACATCCATGTTAACATTAGCCAAAATCCTCATCCGCTTGCGTTGTCGCTTAAAAGCCTTTGGACGAACACTTTCTTGAGTTCCGGTTTGATTGCCCTGAACACTCCCACATTTTTTTGGTTTATCCAAAATAAGAGACAATGCATCAATTTGATCCATAGGAGAGAGACCCATTGCTTCAAGTTCATTAGCTATGTCAGTATGATCTGCAGTACCTTGAACTAAAGCTTCAGTTACCATTTGCATCCTCTTCCCACTTTCAACATAAAAATCTTTCAGTCCACTGATAATTGCCTCGGTTCCATCACTTGAACTTCCCCACAGCTCTTTTCCTCTTTCTTTGGCTATTTTTCAGATGGGGTGCTTTGTTGGCTTTGTTGGTTCATTGAAGAAACAAAATTTATCACCTCCAATATCACTTTCACCAAACATGATCATGACTTTGTTCCTCCACCATTTGAGCAGGGGTTTCGGCTACATTACCCGTAGCCCGATCTTTTCCAAATATATATGCAAATCTATCAAACAGTGGAAAAGGTTTGCTTCTCCATCCATCGGCTTCTTTATTTCTCTAAGATTATATCAACATAGCAAAACTAAAATTTAGCATGCGTAACAAATATAGCAGCAAGAATATAACTAATGCATAAATAAAATAGGATATGAACCTGCACATAAGTTTGCCATGCGTCATCACTGTCAACTTCAACGCACTTTTTGACATCATTCCATGCAAATCCACTTGTGTTTATCATGTCAACGACC